TGATGGGGGAACTCACTAAGCTTTGTGCTTACAATTTCAGTTTTGGTTTCAGGTACCTCTTCGACCAAGGGGAAGGAGTCGGTGGTGTAGCAGCGCATCACACACACACACATTATTTCCGCATGGAGTTTTCTGGGATTGTACTCTGATTTTCCTTACTTTTGATGATATAGTTTTGAGACACGATGTTATGGTTTTATGATTTGATGTAACATTGACAATGTTTTGGTAAACTGTTTTATAAATTACTTAATTAAAAATGAAATTTTTGGCCTTGAAAATTGGGATGTTACAATAACAATCAATAGCTAGCATATACAGGTGGTTATACAGATCTAACAGATCACTACAACATAGCAATATCCTATATATAGCAGGATACATATCTAACAGATCATTACAGCATAACAACATCCTGTATACCAGGATACAAATCTAACAGATCACTACAGCAAAATAGCATACAATAAAACCATGATATTAATCCAATGGGTCAGCCATGGTGCCTTCGACCGGTAAGTATAGTGAGGAAAACTCACATCACAATCTGACAAATAGCTGCTCAATATTGTGCTCCTAAATACCTGATCAATCCAAATCCTAAATGTCAAAACATTTCCATTCTAAATTAATAACATTTCCTCAAAATACCCTTGTCAAAACTGATCAAAATCAACAAGTCAACTGAGTCAATACAGCCGAGTCAACTCAGTCAAGTTCACTCAACCTAGTCGACTCGAGTTTCGTACATGGGCGTACTCCGGAGGTACGCAAGGCGTACAAGCTGTCCGGGGCATTGGGTCCAGATCTGGATACGCGCAGCGTACCCTGCAGGTATGGCCAACGTATGCATCAGTCCCCCTCTTAACTTATTAAGTGCTTATTTCTTCGACTTCACACGTCCAATTGCAGATCCAAGGATAAAATACCATCAAGATTCATAAAGTTTCCAAATTTATGACTTTGCGTGTCCATTAAGTTCTTAATACACAAAATCTCAACATCTTAACGCCTTAAGACTTTCTATAGCACGCATGGAGTAAAACTAACCATCAAGACCACATGTTTATGACTTAAGACTCCCCATAAGGTCTGAAAGGACGACTTATTTGGTCAAGAGAATGCCATGCTCAAGAATCACCATATTTAGGACCAAAAAGTGCCCTAAAGAAAGAAATGGATTCATCTACAAGATAGAGCGATCAAATTATGAGCTTTTTACCTCCAAGCGGTTGCTAGCAAGTGAGGAATCCCATATCTAAGTTGCTTCCAAGCTTCAGGGTTCTTACGCCAACTTCTCATTCTTCAAGAACACCAAAAAGGCACACAAATGAGCTCAAAACACTCTTCTCACTTAGGGTTTGTTAGAGGGTCGAATTCTCGGATGGGGGCTGATGAGAGAATGATAAATGTGGCTATAATGGTGTTTATATATGAACTAAACCCTAAAAATTAGGGTTTGAACTTCCTCCACGTACACCCTGCGTACGAGGTGTACGCCCAGCGTACTAGGGTCTACCCTAGTACGCTTAACATACACAATGTACGGCCAACATACTACCGTATTGCCAAAAATTACCAAAATGCCACTGTGGGCCATTTTACACTATTTCTTATACTCATGGACTAAAATGCAATATTTATCCATATATAAGGTTAAAATTGAAAATACATCAACATCGGGATGTTACAGTTCTCCCCCACTTGAACTAGACTTCGTCCCCGAAGTCAGACATCGTGAACAACTCAGGATAATGCTCCCGCATCTCTGTCTTCGACTCCCAGGTCCACTCGGAGCCTTTCCTATGTTGCCATTGAACGTTTACCAAAGGTTTCTTCTTGTTGCGTAGAATCTTCATCTTCCTTTCTACTATCACTACTGGCCTCTCAACATAATTCAGGAGCTTATCGACCTGAATATCATCCAAAGGAACCACGACTTTATCGTCCAATAGGCACTTCTGCAAGTACGAAACATGGAAAGTGTTGTGAATCTAGCTGAGATCACTTGGCAAATCCAACCGGTAGGCCACCCTGCCTACCCTAGCGATCACACGGAACGGTCTAATATACCGGGGACCCAATTTTCCCCTCTTCCTGAAGCATATCATGAATTTCCAGGGTGAGACGTTCAGTAATACCATATCACCGACCTGAAATTCCAACTCTGATCAGCACCGGTGGTTTGAAGCTACAATTCGCTCAAACCAAGGTTGTGATACAACTTGTAATGTCTCAAAAATCACAACAAATTAAAACTTTTCAAAACAACCCATTTACTAAAAAGAAGTTTTTACAAAACCATTTTATCCAAAACATTATTTAAAATTAGAGTCTCCCAAGATCCAAGCGACATAAAACCAAGGATGTGTACGGTCACGCCTTCACCTTGCCACGGTCCTCTGAAGTACCTCAAACAAAACTAAAAATGTAAGCCAACGCTTAGTGAGTTCCCCCAAAGTACCAAAAAACAACATAACAAGCAAGCATACAAACATGAGCAACCAGCTTGAATGGAGCACCTCGTAGGGCCTAAAGCCTATCTAGACTGTTCCACATGCAGTCGGCCTGACTAGACCGCATCGCACGGCCTACAACCTTTCTGAACTGCTCTACGTTCCGCCAGCCTGACTGGACCGCCTCGCACGGCCTACAACATATCTGGTCGTCCCTGGGTGTCTTGGCCTACAACACAAAGTAGGACCGCCTCAACCCAAACCAACATGTCGACATATGCAACAAACAAACATGAAAACAAAGCTGGTAAATAAAGATGATCATACGATTCTAATGGATCACAATAACATAACAACATACGGTAATCAGGTTATCAATCCAATGGTCCATCCTTGGTGCCTTCGATCCGTAAGTACAGTGAGGAAAACTCACCTCACAGTCTCAATAACTCCTAGCTCCGACAACTAGCTCAACCCAAATCCTAAGTGTCAAAACATTTCCATTCTAAGTTAATAACATTTCCCCAAAAATACCCTTGGCCAAAAATGATCAAAACCAACAAGTCACCGAGTCAACAGTGCCAAGTCAACTCAGTCGAGTCGACTCAGGCTTCGTATATGGGGCATACTTCAGAGGTACGCGGGGCGTACTAGCTGCCCGAGGCATCGGGGTCAGATCTGCATATGCGCAACGCACCCTTCATTACGCCCAACGTACGCAACAGTCCCCTACTTAACCCATTAAGTGCTTATTTCTCCGATTTAACACGTCCAATTGCAGATCCAAGGGTAAAATACCATCAAGAGTCATAAAGTTTCCAACTTTATGACTTTGCATGTCCATTAAGTGCTTAATACATAAAATCTCAACATCTTAATGCCTTACGACCTTCTTTAGCATGCATGGAGTAAAACTAACCATCAAGACCACATTTTTATGACTTAAGAGCCCCCATAAGGTCTGAAAGGACGACTTATTTGGTCAAGAACATGCCATGCTCAAGAATCATCATATTTTGGATCAAAAGTGCCCTAAAGGAAGAAATGGCTAGATCTACAAGATAGAGTGATCAAATTATGAGCTTTTACCTCCAAGAGGTTGCTAGCAAGTGAGGCATCCCATATCTAAGTTGCTTCCAAGCTTCAGGGTCCTTGCGCCAACTTCTCATTCTTCAAGAACACCAAAAGGCACATAAATGAGCTCAAAACGCTCTTCTCAATTAAGGTTTTCTAGAAAGTTGAATTCTCAGATGGTGCTGATGAGAAAATGATAAATGAGGCTATAATGGTATTTATATATGTACCAAACCCTAAAAATTAGGGTTTGGAGTTTTTGCACATACACCTTGCGTACGAGGTATACACCTAGTGTAATAGGGTTCGCCCTAGTACGCTCAGCGTACACAACGTATGCCCAACGTACTACCCTATTGCCCAAAATCACCAAAATGCCACTATGGGCCATTTTACACTATTTCTTATACTCAGGGACTAAAATGAAATATGTAATCATATATTAGGTTACAATTGGAAATACCTTAACATCGAGATGTTACAATTCTTCCCAACTTGAACTAGACTTCGTCCTTGAAGTCCGCTGCTGCGAATAACTCGGGGTAATGCTTTCGTATCTCTACCTCCGGCTACCAGGTCCACTTGGAGCCTTTCCGATGCTGCCACTGAACCTTTAACAAATGTATCTCCTTGTTGTGTGGAATCTTCATCTTTCTTTCCACTATCGCTACCGGCTTCTCAGTATAATTCAGGCGTTCATCGACAGATTTTACACAAGTGGGTCGACGGTGAACATAGGTTGTGAAGGTGTTGGTGTTCGTCGATGGTTAATGGATGATAAACATTGTTGTGCGAGGGGTATGTACAAGTCAGAATTAAGTTGTTGATTGTTGGTTTAATTCTGACTTTAGTCAAAAGTGGTGACCGAGTTTTTAGAAAATAAATGATGATTGTGCTGCCTTTTTTTAGGAGTAAGTCATGGGTTACTATTTAGTATTTAATAAGTTATTATAGGAGTGGTGGCCCTCTTTTATATATATATATATATATATATATTATATATATATATATATATATATATATATATATATATATATATATATATATATATATATATATATATATTGTATGTGGTGTTTGCTTGTATGTGTGGGCAGGATGTAGCGGTCAATGAGACTTGCCCCACCCCTTTGTTTAGTTTTATGAATGAATAAAACATAGAAAACTTTGGCTCCAAATCTTCTTATTTCTTCCTCTCTAAATCACGCAGCAAAATGTGTTGTTTAACCTTGTTTGTTGTTGCATTGTGGTGTGTATGATGGGCTGTTTCAAACAATTATTAGCCATAATTGATAAATTGGGATTAACAATATATATATATATATATATATATATATATATATATATATATTTTAAATAGAAATGGAAATATGAATTAGACGATGTAAAGGGTCAAGGATGTGGTGGATAATAGCACATTATCATGTTGTAGGCCAATATTATGTACTTGGGCTCCAACATAATACATAATTAAGTATGTGCATTATCAACCATCAATAAAAATTTTGAATTACATCTTGGAAAAAAATTACAATGATTCTCTAATCGTAAAGCGTGTGTTTCTTTGGGCTTAAAGAGATATCTGGATCGATATGATGAGTAGAAGACATCCAATAAAAGACGAGATTGCAGGAAGGCAAATAGAATGACTGGTATAGCAGCAAAACCAGCGACCATATATGGTATCCATTTCTGGTTTTTATGGTATAGTAAGAAGAAGCTCGAACCAAATGCAATCATCATGGTCACAATAGAAAGGAAGAGTGTTCCAAGACCAAACATCAGCTTTTTTGGTAATGATTCTAGGAAATCACGTTCAGCATAACGAGATGTGAGGATAGATAGGAAAATAAGGACCGAGGTTGAAGAGAATATCAATGAAATGGCATCTGCGATCACAAAAACAACCAGTGCTGATCTGGGACCGAACATAGGAAGTCCATTGTTTTGGTCATAACCACCAGGAAGTGTAAAACCAGCGGCAAATACTATGGTTGCTATAAGAGTGGCAACCACCATGCATTGTGCAGCTGTGTCCTTCATCCACTCCTCACCTTTCTCAACTAGTTTTGCATGAGTCTTTGTGAATATGTCATGTGGTTCTTCACCAGCAAAATTTTTCCTTTTGTCTGTAAGAAGGAGGGATTATCTGCTTTACTTCCTGCAAAACATACAAATTCAGTCGTCATTATTAGCATGTCAAAAATCACTAGTTTCATATCTATATTTGAGATTCAGTATGTATGCTACGTACCCAATCATATTTATAGAGTGTGTAGCTTCTTGCCTTTGTTCTTTGGAAAAGATATATGGTTGTGTTTGTTTATAATTTATCATATTTCTCCATTAATTAAAAGATCAACATAGTTATAGCTCTATGCGTCCCGTGAGTTGTCTTTATATTTATCGTATAGAAATATTATATGTGGAAAGAATGTAGATATCATGCCTTCTATTCACATAAATGACTTTAAATAGATGATATATCTTATTGAATCATTTATACTTGTATGTATTCTACTTTCTAAAGGAATAAAAAACATGATATGAAAAAAGAAATATTGTTCTCAAGCTTGAAGGGACAAGGCGTACCTCGAACCATAATAACTCTCGTTGCATTTGTAGAGCAACTCCTGACACGTTTTGAAATCGATTTGGCTTAGCACTCTTCCCAACTAAATGCAACATATTATTGCCATCTTCATCTTTGATAGGGGTTATTAAATCTTTCATTGAGCCTATTTCATATAACAAATTGTAGATCTTTTCTTGACGACGTTTGACAGCTTTATGAAACATACTTAGCCCTTTTTCATCTACCTTCCATATTAGATCTGGATATGACCGAATGAGCTCACTTATAAATTTTATGTTACCCATTTTGGCAGCAACGAAAAGTACCCGGGAAGGGTAATGTGTCTTTTTCTTTTTCTGCTCTTCAATAGTTGCAGGTGGCCCTCGAATTATGTCATCGATATCTCTCTTAGGCATTATGACAACCTGTTTCCAAATGATTTTTAATAATTGCAGAGCGTCACTTTCTCTTTCATCAGGCCCCAGCTTCACGTGAAATACTGCAAAAACTTAAAGTAACAATCAAGTATATCATTGTATCAGATGTTGTGATCAAAATTGACATACTACTACTAGTTGGTTGATCCCTTGAATCAAATATTCAATTTCATAAAGGACAATATTGGGTAAACTACATGGAGGTTCATTCGTTTCAAAAGGTACTACCATACTAGTTGATGTATGAAATTACTCATTTAACTAATTTCTGATTCTATCTTTATGGACTACATATTGACAACCATTTTATGTTATGCATTGCATTTGAATTAAGTATTGATCGCTTTGGAACTTGGGGCAGAGTATTGAAACCAATTTCGACGATCTTTAAATATGAAATTATATATAAAAATCGAAAATCATAGCAGGTGTAAGGCCATGCCCTGATTGACTTGTAACCCATCTATTAGCCTATAACTTCTAAAAATTGGTATATATGGATAACTAATGCATAATATCATAATCATGAGCAGAAGGAAATCATGGCTTTATGAAAAAACAATTACGGAATATGTTTCCAAAATCCTATATGGTCACGCATAACTCGAAACAACCAGCATAAAAGTGTTCAAGCTTTGAAAGGGGAATAAAATTGATAGGAAGGAGCATATGCTTACTTGACTTGATAGTTCCCAAGATAATATGTGGCTTTTTTTCCTTAAATGCATCGGTCTTCTTAGCCAAAACTACAAGTATATCTCTGAGTAGTCTTTTATTCGAGGTGAGTTTGGGATGGTCGTTGACTATTCTTAGAGCAACATCTACAAAAGGTTATGCGCTCACTCAGTGAGAAAAAGTTCTGATTAATGCATTAAAAATTAAACACAACTCTCTGAACATGAAGCATGTAGATTTTGAAGAGAAAGATAGGGTGGCATTCTCATCAATTTGCATAGAAATATTGTTAAATTTCGTTATATTTTATCCATGTAAAATTAGAAAAATAAAACAAAAAAAAAAGTTACCCTGGTCAAGAGTTGCACCATTCCTAGGTAGAAATGCAAGAAAATAAAGAAGTCATGATAAAAGGATGAGAATTTGTAACAACAACTTACCGAAGAGATCGGCTTCAACACATTTCTGAAGAACCCATCCCCGATTTTCATCTTTCCAATAATCTCCTAACATGCTATTGGGAATCTCATAATAAAGATACCTAACCATTTTGTCTCTTGCAAATAAAGCAGCTACATAGAGTGGCATCATTCCTTGACTACCAGGAATTTCTAGCACGGCTTTATTCTTCTTCACCATTATCTTTGCGGTTTCAACATTTCCTGCAGTGGCTGCCAAACTGAGAGCAGTGTTGTAACTTTTATTTTGTAATTCAAGATCCTTCTTATCCATCTTAGTTACTAGATTTTTAACAAATTCTTCCACTGATTTGGTGCTTCGTGCAGATGCTGCAATGTGAAGCGGTGTTTCAAAATTTTCAGTGATTGCAGATCGTACCAGCTCTGGTCTTGTTTCAAGGATGGCTTCGGCAGCTTTCCAATCTCCTTTGATTGACGCTTCATAAAGTGGAACTCCAATATTGAGGTACTCTTCTCTATTTCCTTCAATTCAAACAATTTCAATTGTAAGTCGGTGTTAAGTTTAACCCATATTAGTTTCCATGTTCAGATTTTACTTAGGGAGGAGGAGGCATTCCCTCCCAACCCACTCAACTTTTTCAATTGTATTTTTTCTCTTTTATTTTTCTTTTATCTTTTCGAACCCACAACACACGGAAATCCTATCTTTTTGAACCCACTCAATTAAAAAAAAATACAAAACAATCAAATGTAAAACCTTAATTAGCAATAGAGTTATCGGCGGTACCACTCCCGCTTCAACGAGTGGGTTGATTGGTTTCACTAACCCACTTCATCATCTCTCTCTATTTTCTCTTTCTTATTTTCTCTTGTACCATGTGTTTTAAAACTTGTATCTTAGTTGTTTTGTATTTTTTTAATTGAGTGAGTTGAGTGAGTTAAAAAAGATAGGATTTCCATGTGTTGTAGGTTCGGAAAGATGAAGAAAAATAAAAGAGAAAAATTGATGTGGTACGGTGGGTTGGGAGGGAACGACTCCCTCCTCCCTTATACATGAGAAGTAGCGGGATTATGGTATGGCTCGCGTAAAGCACCCTAAAAAAGTTACGATTGATATATACTTATATATGAATACCCATAAAAAAATAAAATTATGTTAACTCAAAGTAACCCTTCTAGAATAAGGATGCATGGATGTGATCTAAAAGTTAACATAAAAAACTGGTTCTATTAACTAACTATTTACTTTTATTTATTTTGTAAACCTAACAAGTCATGACTGTTTTAAAAAGTTAAAAATTGTAACTTCTTAAAATCTCATTTTCAAAGGCTAAACAAAATGTTGTTTTAAAAGGTTTTTTCTATACCCAAACATTTTTTTAACTTATTTACTTTTTCAAGAACTCAATAAGATAAAAATTCATTTTTAAATAAATAGCTAAACACCCTCTATATTTCCATTTAGTCTACTTTTATGACTGAGATGAGAATTTATGCATGTATGATCGAATGAAACATTAATTTGTGCAAAAATTAATACTCACACAGGCTTAGCGATTAGTATGTGGTGGTGATAGCTGAAACAAACTTAATTAACCTAAGAGATTGTGAATGTGAAGTTGTAGTTACGTTCAACGTGTTAGAAGAAACATATTGACAGTAGAAACATATTGACGGTATCATGAGTTCACGATTATATTCTAGTTGTATATATGTTGTTATTTTGTAATTGAAAAATGAAAAATTAAATATCTTTTTATATTTTATTCTTATCCATCATCCGAATCATATAAAATAATCACATGTTGAAAGTATTAATTTTTTTTTTTAATAATATCTCATAATATTAGTACTTGTTTTGATCAAATAAACATAAACATGAACACAAATACAAACAAAAGATAAGAGGATATTGTCTTGAAAAAAATGTGGTCAAGTGGAGATACATTTCACATATACGGCTATTTTAGTGAATAATCATAATTATGATTATTATATGGTTATTGAAGTTATTTTTAATTTAATAAAATACTAATATACTATTATTCATAAAAATAAACTAATCAAACTTAAATGCTGAGTAGATGAATAAATGAGGTAGGTGATAGTAAATATAGATTCACATGGTGGGTGCCACCATAACATCCATTGACGCTCTATATTTAATGAAAAACTTAATGTATTAATAGTATGAAGATTGAAGGGACATAACCAGCAGGCCATCATGGGGATTAGACTTTAAAATTAATAATTAACTGGCGGTTGTTTATCTAATTACTTCCTTCCTACATACCCAGTTAAATTCTCTTAAACCCTTCTACGCATCTATTCCTTTTTGCGATGCATATTGGTAACATGGCAACATCAGTTTGACTAATCTTGGTATATGTTATAAACCTACACCTATACTAAGGAGTTTTTTCTTGTAAAATTTTCAAGTAGTTTATAAATTACCATTGATTAGTTCTAGTCTAGGTAGATTTTCTGGCAGTGTTGGTAGATGAGTATTCGGGTGTGTTGGTGGTAAGCCTGGTTGTGGCTGAGTATTCGGGTGTGTTGGTGGTTGCTGAGGAATTTGAACCATGACTTGGTTCTGCTGCTGGTGCTCTAGATGCAGCTGCTGCTGGGGGGTTGAGGGGCTCGGTGGGGGCAGTGGACGTGGAGGATTCATCTCTCCGGTGGCTTACTCCCCTGCACTGATAATAGCATTAGTAACTCAAATGTCAGATCCAATCACAAGTTCACAACATGCATTGAGAAGATGATGTATTTGAAATTACCTCAATTTATCCACAACTTATTTCTAAATCTGGTTGATGCTGATCCCAACAGTCGCTTTTCTTAGTATATATCTATGAAAGGATTGTTGAAGGAAGGTTAGACATCAATTTATAATACTGGGTTCCCTACGAAAGTCATCGTCTATATGAAGTACTTCCGGGAAACGCGTAGTATTGACCTCCAAAGGGGGGAGACAACTATAATTAACATATGATATGTACAATTAATATACAAGTTAATTATGTTAGGTATAATATGATGCAATTTTACACATGGCCATGACACCAAATGTGTGTGTAAGAGATGATATCACATTAATTAAATTATAAGTTACATCATTTTAAATTATTAATAGCAAGATGTAACCCCATGATCTTATATCAATATTCTTGAGTTGCTATTAGTCCGTATGTAAACATCAAGTTGGCATTACACCATTAATTAATTTTGAAAGTGGAATATAAGTAATAATATTGATTTACATGGTTCGAGTTTTCAACAGTTGACTTTCAAGGGGTCTGGGTTTTTCAAGTATCTCCTGAGCCCCATAGTCTTGGTCCCAAATCGCAAACGCATGCCCTTTGGGCCGTTCAGTTTTTGTCTAAATGTCATATATAACTAGTAAAGAACCCGCGGCTATGCCGTTTTTGGGGTAATATGGAAAAAATCGGCAAACTTTAAAAGATATGTGCTGAAATTGTAAATCACCATAAATAGAGAAGAAAGTCGACAACTCCTAAAATTAGATGTCAAAAGTGTACAACGAAAAAAAGGGACACTGGTTGAGAAAATCCAAAATATTGTGGCAATAATATTAAAGTTGTTAACGTTGGGAAAATATGTTGGCAAAATTTTAAAGGAGGTTTTTTTGTGTTTTTTATGTCAAAATGTAAAACTTTTGACTACAAGGACAAAAAGTGTCAAATTCATTAAAGAATTGTGGCAAAAACACCAAAATGTAATACCTTTGAATATAAGGACTAAAAGTGTCAAAGTCATTAAAGATTTGTGGCAAAAACCTTAAGGCACAAAAACTTAATCAAAAGACAAAAATGTAAAAATTTTGACTTTAAGGACTAAAAGTGTCAAGTTCAGCAAACTTATGTGGCAAAATCCTAAAGGCTAAAAGAATACTACTCCTAAGCTCCTTTGGATTATATATATATATATATATATATATATATATATATATATATATATATATATATATATATATATATATATATATATATATATATAATAGGTTTGATCGCTCATAATTGGAAGGGATAATGACTTAAAAGGGTAATATATTTTTTGATTTGTACACATTTGGTCACTGAGTTTTTTTTTTCATCCACATTTACCCCTTCAACTTGTTAAACTGTATACATTCAGTCCTTATGACCGGCTACTCCAGGTTACCCGGTAAAAATGACTTAATAGGGTAATATATTTCTCACTTTGTACACATTTAGTCATTAATATTTTTGTACACATTTAGTCCTTTTTTTTTTGCAAAATAAGTCATTTTTTTTGTATTCATTCAGTACTTATGAATGATTTTTTAGTTTTTTCTCACGAAATCTTACGTGGGACATTCATTAATGAGGTGTATGGGGCTTTTGATGCTTATATCCATCGCAATCTCGACTACTTGGTTGCTTAGGTCATGTGTTCTGAACGTCATAACTTCTTCATATGATCTCGGATTTTAACGATCTTTATATCCATGCGTTCGCGTTCGTATTTTAGTCTACTACAACTTTTATTTAGATTAGTCCCATTAAAAAATATTATATTTTTACTTACGATTTTTATATCCATACGCGGTGGCGGAGTTAGTATGATCCCGGTGCTGCACCGACAACACCTGTTTTTTCTGTTCGCAGTGGAAAATTTCTCAATTTTTTTTATGTTTATACCTATTTTTCATGTATCGGCAACACCTATTTCATCTCGGCAACAACTACTATGTATTACTGCGTCTTCTCCTGTCCATACGTTTTTTATGAATGCATGTATATATGTTTTTTTTATAAAATCGTTAGTAAAAATATATTACATTTTAACGGGAGTAATCTTAAAGAAAGTTGTAGTAGACTCAAAAAATGAACACGTGGATAAAGATCCTTAAAATCTGATATCGTATGAAGAAGTTACGATGTTCAAAATACAAGACCTAAGCCAAACCACAAGACTTACGCAACCAAGCAGTCGAGATCGCATTGGACATAAGCATCAACAACCCCAAGCACCTCATCAATGATTGTCTCACGTAAGATGTCGTGAAAAAAAACCTAAAGAAATCATTCATAAGTACTGAATGAGTACAAAAAAGGACTTATTTTGAAACAAAAAAAATGTTAAGGACTAAATATGTACAAAAATATTAAGGACTAAATGTGTACAAAATGAAAAATATATTACCCTATCAAGTCATTTTTCCCGGCTAACCTGGAGTAACAGATCATAAGGACTGAATGTGTACAGTTTAACAAGTTTAAGGGGTAAATGTGGACGAAAAAAAACCTCAGTGACCAAATGTGTACAAATCGAATAATATGTTACCATTTTAAGTCATTATCCCTAATTGGAATATCTCCGCCTTGATTCAAGTTTCGTATATCATAAATGCTTTCTTGAAAGGTCTCTAGTGGAGATGGGGTAATCCCGAGTTTTTTTTTTTTTTTTTTTTGTAAATTCAATAAATGAAAGAGAAGGAAAATTTTGACAAAAAAAATGAAAGGAAGGAAAGTATTCATTAGTAGGTTATAACCCGTATACCACACGGATGATAATTTAAAATAACATTTATAATGACGAAAATATAATGATTAACCATAAATTTGCTATACTTCTTTATAAATCTAAATCGTCAATTTATAAAAAATTGTTTATATAAGTTTTTCTAAGTTAAGTGCTAGCTTTACTTAATGGTGTATTCCAAGATATGTGGGGACAATATAGTCTATAAAAACTTTTATACTTTGCTTTTCATAAGAAATCTACCACATTATCTATAAATCTACCACGTCAACAAAATCCATATTAAAAGTACACCAAAAGCCACCTAAACACCTGTAATAGCTTGTTATTTTCAAATATACACTAAAAAAATATTTTTTGTCCGGTTGGATACAATTAAAATGAGAAATAGGTACAAAACTTATATTAAAATCTTCAAGTCATTTACATCAAGTCCGCAAAGGAAAAAAAAAGATAGCTCATTGGTAGGGAAAAAAAGATACTTCAAGCCATTTCGTTGTTATTTTAACGTAATTTTTAATTTAAATACAAAAAAAACATAAAATATGCATGCATATTACTTGTGATGGATGTGGAAAGCTAGGTCAGTAACATGTGATTCTAAGATACATAAAGTTTAACACATGACATGATTCTTCAAAAATTGGTTACATTTTTGAAAACTAATAAAATGAAAAATTTTCGCAAAGAAGTTAAAAATCTAAGAGGCCTAAATTTTATGTATAAATAACATAAATAAATGAAAATCAATAAGTAGTAAGCACCATTGAAATCAATAGTCCTAGTCATTGAAACAAATTTTAAGATTTTGTTTCTGTGTAATTTAATCTCATTAATGATGTTTGTAGGACTTATTCTAAAAAGAAGTTGATGGTAGATTCTTATGTGGAAATTAAAATATAATCTTATTTTTGGAACCGATTTGGACGATTTTGCCTTGTGCAACCCATGTTCATCAATGTTGATTTTGGGTTTTTTATTAAAGACATGACTTGGAGTAGAAATTTAATTTGTATTTTCAATTTTATACTTGACTTTGTCGATTTTGCACTTGGCCTATATATCAATGGGCAAAAATAAATCAACTGTCATAAATGCCAATCAGGTAGCGTTTGGCACACCCGCTTTCCCATTACAACTCCTCTTTCCCGTCAACACCTACATCAAATTGTTTATAAGCCACAAAAATTACAACAAAATCGAATAAAACATGAGCAAATGAGTGGTTTACTTTAAGTATCCAGGTAGTACACCACAATTTTATGAGCTTTTAGGGAAAATTCAACATATAAACATGCTTTAACCAACCAAACACACCAAATAATCAGACCTGATGTAAACTGTAAACTGGGACAAAAAGTAAGATGTTATAATTAACACAAAATCATACATTTTCGAAATAAAAGGTCATAAAAAGGGACATCTGCAAACCTGTTGTAAAGTAGGGACATATAAGCAAGATGTTGTAAGGTTTACATCAAGTTATTATTCACTCTTGACCTCGTCTGATGGATTATTTAACTTATTCTTTTTCACTTTTTGGACAATCGCCACTGGTTCATCATACTGCATGATACTTTTTTTTCCTACTCATAGGATGTAATAACAAAGAAAAAAAGGAAAAAGGGGAGTTATAACAAACAAAATTTGAAAGTATGTTTCTGTTTCTTGCATTTTAACCCAAATTTAATAGGGTTAAATCTAAGAAATAGCAAACAAATGCCTTGAGTGATTTAGATATCCTATTAAGGTCAAACACAAACACTTCCATGAACTTATTTGGGTTGGACAGATTACTCATACAAAAAGCCACTAAAGAAAAAACAAAAAAACAAAAAAACATTAAATTAATACGACGTGATTAAACCATGATAAAACAATTTTCATTAGCTCTAATTCTTTTTACAATGAGTATATTGGTAGATAGAGTCTGCTAGATTCATAATGCTTTTCAGAGACCAATATTGTCTTTGATCTGTTGCAGATGTAAGTTAGATGGCTACATGTACAAAGTTTAAGTTTGAAAAAGGCAAACTAAAAAATATTGTTGCAAGATTGTTTTTGAAAAAATATTAGACTATAGTAGCATGAGTAAAACAATATCATAACACAATCGTTTACAAAATATGACCGCTTATTTAGGGAAATAAATAATACCATAATACGGTGGCATATGTATATATGGACATAAAAACCATGTAAAATAAGAAAAATATTATTTCATATTATAGGGTTCACAAATGCACCTTCCACATATAACCCAAGTCTGGAAACAACACTCGTGGATGCTCATTGGACACATTTACTATCCGCAACAGATATATAGTATATATTGTTAATAATAGTAAAATTAACTAAAATATAAGTAAACCAATGACAAAGTGCTACTACCAAGTGATGTTATTGTACCTTGACTTGGATTTATCAGCAAAGCCACTAGGCTAACTTCCTACAATTTGCATTATACCAACCTATAACTTGCAAAAAAAAACAGCTGATTAGTCTCCAAAGTGTGGTGCAATTAGCTTATGTCGACCTTTGTACTTTGAAGACCATTATAAAACGTTCATCAAGAGAGGATACACATTTAGATAATAACAAACCATAAAGAAATTATTCAATGTTAGACACGATACATATATACATATTTCATAAGAGGTAAAGAAAGGAATGTACATATGTTTCTTTAAACATGCATGTAAGAACAGAAACTTGGAAAACCCTTATAACCCCTGTTCAGCCTTCCCCTTCAATTGCTTCATATTGGTAGGTATATGGCTTGGACGGTTTTATCTCTCACTTGAAAAAAACATATCAAACGTGGAATCAAGATTTAAGAAGTTTTTAAAAAACAATCTTTGAGTTTTGAAGCCAAACAGTCTGTACCAAAGATCTAGGGTTTCTAAATCTAGGCACCAAAAGTGAGATGGTGGATGTTGTTGAGGGCGTTGACAGTGAGGCTATGGTGTCTCTGGATTGGTAGTGAGCTCATGGTGGTCGTGGTGAAGGATAGTGGTGGTGGATGAGATTAGTGCTTTTCTTAGAGACAAGGAGAAGGAGAGTTGTAGGCGGTCGATCTATAAGCCATTTGGAAAATAAACGGGAAAATTTGAAGTGCCGTCGTCGGATCCTTAAACCGATCGCAGGGCTGGGAAGGTGGCCGGAAAGTTTACTATAATTGACGTATGGAGGCAGACCATCGAGGGGCCAAAAGCATGGAACCCATGCATGGAGGTATAGGTATATGAGAATCAATATGAGAGATAGATTATTCAGCAGGATTTCAAAAATAGCGAAGGGGAATTTGAACTGAAAATATTGAATCCTAAAATTAGGGGATCAGTAAGGAAATAGGAGGAAGATGTCGCGTAATCATTCTACAATCACTGATAGACAGAATCAATTTCAAATTTTAGGGATGGATCTCGGTTAAAGAATAGGCGGGAAAATAAGTGATGAGATACATGTAAGAGTGACACATGGAAATAATAAGGCTTATAAGGAGACATGTGGCATGTAGGAGAGGTTTTTATTAAGAATGGAGATTACGTGTTCCCGAATTCGAAGGAAATGAAAGGAAAATTTTAAGTTTTTGTGTTCCCGAGTTAGAAGGAAAAATAAAATAAATCATAAAATTTTCCTTCCCCTCACTTTCTTCTCAAATTCGTCCAATTTGAGAAAAAAATTTGGAAGGAAAATATTGCTCCAAAATCTTTTCTCTCCCCTCACTTTCTTTCCATTAATGAAACTCGGGAACATGATTTTCCTTCAACATCTCTCACATTCCCTCTGTATTCTTCCATATCCCTCCTTAAGTAAAGCTCGGGAACAAGTGTTGTCATATTTGTCATTATATCATATCTAAATAAGATGCATGACATGCCATTTTGGGAAGGGTCAAGAATTAAAGATTTTTTTTGGAATTTAAACTATATATTTTATACAAAAAACAAATATTTCATTAAAATAAAATAGAAAGTTACAACATTTTGAAACATTACTTACGGCATTATACAAAAAAAATCTCATTATTTAGGATTTTTTTATAAAGTCCTAAATGTTGTTTTTTGAACAAAAAAATTCATTATTTGAGGAAAACCACGTAATCTGTCGTTTCCTGTTAAAATAATATATATATATATATATATATATATATATATATATATATATATATATTTGTTAATTTGGGCGCAATGATAAATAATTGGGACTTTTATGTTAAAAAAACGTTTCAGACTTTATCAAAAAAAATTCCAAATAATAAGACTTTTCTACATAAAACCTCATTACTTAACTACACTTAATACTAAACTTAAAACTTGATGTAACTCATATGTGAATGACATGTAATTCACAAGTAAATCATAAGTGATTCACCTATGACTTATATGTGATTCACATGTAAATCACATGTCATTCACATGTAAATTACAAGTGAATCACATATGAGTTATATATGAATCACAAGTGATTCACATATGAATTACATGTGATTCACATGTAGATCACAAGTGAATCACATAAGAATTACATGTCATTTACATGTAAATAACATGTAATTCACATATGAATTACATGTGATTCACATGTAAATCACATGTAGTTCACATATGATTCACATGAAAATCACAAGTAAATCACATATGATTCACATGAGTGTTCTTGCATTAATCATTTTTTTTTTAATTTTCTTGTACATTTTGAAGAATTTTTGGAAAATATTGAAGAGGTGAAAAGTGAAAACTCGAAAAAAAAATATGGAAATCTTGATATGAAGAAATGATCATACTGTGAATCTTTGTAGTTTTTATATTTTTTTATATTTTATTTTGTATCGAATAAAATAATTGTAGTACTATGTTTATAGATTGATTAATAAAAATGAGATTTTTTATGATTTACTTACAAATATTATAGTATAAGAAATTAATTGTAGTACTAGTTTATAACCCCACTAGTACAAAAATGACCTACAGACACACCAAAAAAGTGTGACCATATGCGTATATTGACATTTTATTTTTTTACTGAAAGTGTGACGGAAGGTGACGTCATCGTATGGGTCTTATGATCACTTTAAAATGTAGTGTCCATATGATATGAAAACATGTGGTCGTATCATAAAAGTGTGACAATTGTGTAGGGAATTTTGTTCCTAAAATCAATCATTTTATCCAATATTGTGGCATTAAACCGTAAGTAGACACACTTTTTTAGTAATTGTAGTAACTGTATATCGCCGACTAACGATATACATGTTGTTTCAATGTGGCGTTTTGCTAATAAATTGTCACACAGTTTAAAGTTTATTAAAACTATTGAGTGTCTTTTACATACATGCAATTACGATGAACATGACCATGTTCACTAAATAGTCACATGTAATTACTTTCATAAGTGACGATTTGTTAATAATTAGTCACACAAACAATTTTTTATTGTGATCATTGTCTATCGTATAGAGACACACAATTACGTGAAACATGACCGTAAGCATTATAAAGACACATTTTATTAAAATTATGGATTTAATATTAGCTTACGGTCATATTTGCATTACTTATCATGACCGCTTCTTTTATTTAGACATATAAAAAGCCATAAGTATGACTATTTTATATCATTTCGACATAGAAAATCAATTAAAAATAACCACAATTGGTTTATAGACAAAATTGTGTGACTAATATTTATATAAAGACACATAAAATATTGTAATTTTGGCGTGACTAATTTTTATATAAAGCCATAGGAAATTTGTTTAATATGGTGTAACTAATGTTTATGTGAAGTTATAGTTATCAATGGACATAATATCCATTTCATTTCCATTTTTTTTGTAAGATAAAAACAAAAATAAACATGTTAAAACTTAAAAGAAAATGATATTAACATTAATAAAAAAATCAATACATAAGTTTTCAATTCAAATACTAAAGACATTAACTTGTAATCAAAAGATATATATACAAGACTTTACACATAAACTAAGAACTATATCTCCAACATTGTTGACATGCCCTCTAACGTTGTATAAGTTTTCTTTTTCTTCTTAGAATCGTGCAGTTCCGTGTTTTAATTTTGATTGGATGGTGGATTTGGTACCTGGAGCAACAAAAATTATAGGTGTCAAACATTAAGATAAATATGAATAATTAACTAGTGTTAATGTGTTATTCTTGTGCATTAGTCGACTTGACCAATGTAATCTTTAATTTCTTTTATTTCATCATCTTTCATTTTTTCCTATTAAAGTATTGTCCAAATAAGAAAAAATATATAAGTATAATACTATAATTGGATAGAATTTTCAAAGTATAATGTCCTTATAAGAAACAGTTAGAAGTATAATGTTGTAATAGATTAAGAAATTGAAGTAAGAATTTAATTGTCTACTTACATCTTTTGCAATAAATCCATCGAAAAGGTTGATGGTTTTCTCCACTGACCAATATGGACTGGCTTTTTGCATCACTCATCACTGCCCTGAATATAGAGTTGTATTTGATCAGAAAGAGGCTAAAATGTGATATAATCATCAACTATTGATGAATTGACAAAAAAAAAGTACACCTGTAAGATGCGTCTGCCACAGTAAATACATGGGGGCTTAGCTCACCAAATGGAGCTCCTTTATATTGCTTCATCATGTAGACATTATAAAGATGAGGAAGCTTTGTGAATGGGTTGACAACAATTAGAATGCTTCCTTTGTATGTATAATATAAACACCAAGAACATATTCAAAATGAAGCAATGCAAAAATCAAGGATAATGTAGTATGAAGAAAGGTAAAAGAGTGTTATAGAAGAAGTACATGAAGTGGTGTATACAAAGAACAAAGTTCACCCGCCTCACTAAGCAAATTAGCTGATCCCTTTGTGAAATAATTCACTTTACTTAATTGTCTTATGTATCACTATCTCCTACTCTAAAATGAAATGGAATCACGACATCTTGGGCAACTTTAAAGGAGAAGTATGTATGTATAACCAATAATAAAAATACATATACAGTTATAAATGATAACTAGTCAAAACTTACAACACATTCCAAAAATGTAGTATTATATATTATTGAAAGATTGAAGCTGCCATTTGGGATATAATATATTTGACTTACAGCAAGGAAAAAGCTGACAAAGACAGGGGCTTGGATGAAAAGCATGGTCAATTGAGTATACATAGCAGCAGAATACCTGTACAAATATTCAGTTCCAATTATAACATTATTATCATGCAAAAACAAAGGCTTAACATCGATCATGTAAAGCAGAAGCTCACACTAAGGAACAACGGAAAGTGCTTACTCCATATATAATCTCTTCTTTTGTGCCTCAACTTCAGCTACAGCCGTTGGACTCATGCTCTGAAAAGGATACTAATAATTTTTAATAATAAAAATAATCAAGGGCCAAAGAGTTTCATCTTCTTAAAAGGATAAGCATGTCGAATTCAATAAACAAACATTAAGAGCACTGCACATGTAGGAAGTCCCACAGCCTTCTATTTGCATCAATAATTAATTATTCATGACCAAAAGTTATATGGTAGCATGTTATTCAATAGCTTTAACTTCCATTTTGAAACAATATATTATAATTTAGACAAAGGTGGCTCTTTATACATAGTGCACCAGCATAAACATGAACTTTTCATCTATGTAACATGTAACATGACAAATGACAGAAGAAGTTTGATGATGGGCATACCTTATCTTGCATCTTTTGCTGAATCCGCTCCAATTCTGGCCCCAAAATCTGTATGCAAAATGTCAACAGATCAATGCTACCTCTGAACAAGATAGCTCAATATACTATTATACTCAGGACTCAGGAGTCAAGACACACACCCAGAGAGAGATGGGGAGAGATGTTGACTTATGTTTTACATATATTGGCTTTCAACTTCAAATGTATGAACTAATAAATATGTTAGACAAATGAGTAGAGCTCACAGTTAACTTTGAGGCAACCATGTGCTGATTAATCGTGATTGGAGCCAACAAGGTTCTAATAGCAACAGTTGCTATTACTATGCTTGCCCATGTAAAAGTGACAGAAAATGAATTGATGTTAATTCTTTCAATAATCAATATACATATGCATCGGAAGTATAGCACATAACATGATCGATCATGGAACTGTAACAACCTCAACTAGGCATTCACACTTCATTGTTATACATGAGTCATGACATACAAACTACGAGCCAGCAGATGCCTTTGTCATTAAAAGCCTATTAATTATGTCAGAACAGAGTATAACATGGTGTTTGAATACTTCTACACCATAAAGGCACCAATTAGAAGGTATTCCTGATAAGGTAAAATTAGTATTATTTAAAATCAATTAATCAAATGCTTTTAGAATGGAAGAAGAACTTACCTTCACAAATGACAAGGATAGATGTTGGAGGGATTCCGGAGGAGCAGCCGATGTCGGAGGATATCTGGAGGAGTAGAAGGCATAACATCGACTGGAAGGCGACCACGGAGAGCCATAAAAGGTTGGTGACGGTGGCTTTTATTCACCGGAGGCGGCAGAACAACAAATCTATATACCCACCTCCTATCGGTCGGACAAGAACTCATCGATAAAGCAAGTTGCTCTCAAATTTCTGGTGACAGACGACCTAATTTTACCCGCGGTTCCTTGAAATTCACATCCATGTGCGCCGATTAAGCAAGAAATTAGGAAGGAAAACCTACACAATCTCGTTCAACGGCTGAAATCAACCCAATCGAAGACTAATCACCGAGTCAGTAGCGTAGATCGTAGAGCAGAAGCATATTTTGAGCGATTCTTGAGCGTAGAAACAGATATAAGAGAACGGAGCCCTCGCCCTTGTATATTTGGGAAGAATCCGAATAAAAAGAAGAAATTAAGAGAAAATAAAGATAAAATCTCTATTCTAATAAATAAATAGATTTATTCTCATATTGATAAGTGTCATACTATTATAATTTCTCATTAATAACTATATCTAACCTATCATGTCATTTGTCAACATATTAATTATCAATTTCAAATTACAAATTTTAAATTTGCCGCTCTAATTACATTAAATTAATAATTGATTCTCCATTTTAAATTTTAAAATTTTTCATTCTAATTATATTAAATTAATATAATTAGGTTAAAAACAAAAATAAAATTTATACAGATTATAATATGATATAACTTCACATATTTATTTAAATCAACAATTATAATTTTATATAACTAAAAAAATATCTCTTAAATAATAATTTATTTAAAATAATTTATTAGTAATTTTGATTTTTTAATATGAAAATTTAATTAAATTTATAATTGTGATTATCACGGGTTATAAACTAGTGCATTAATATTTGGGAGGGAGTTTAAATTTAAGGTGTGTGTGAAAGTGAAGTTCAAATAAAATCTCGAGCGGGAAATTGAAAATTTCATTTGAAATTTTGAATGATGGTGTTTAATATATATATATATATATATATATATATATTATATATATATATATATGTGTGTGTGTGTGTGTGTGTACGTGTATGTGTGTGTGAGTTTCTTTTAGACCAATGCAATATTATGATACAAAGGATGTGTTTTGTGACTATTCGTTTTGGATGTAAAAAAAATGGAAATATTAAATAAATTAAAGCGAAGCCTTAAGTCACAAACCTTAAGACATATATAACTCTAAAACCCCAATTCATACATGAGAAGTTATGAGCTTGTGGGAATAAGTGTACAAGCCATTGGACTAAACTCGCAACAAAACGAAACTATTGGACCATCCTTGCAAGCCAAACCCATTTTGGACCAAACTTGTAGCTTTTGATTAATGGTTTAGGGTTTGGTTAATGCTTATAACATATTGCTTATAGATTAATACTTATGGTTTAAGGCTTAAGGTGTACGACTTAGGGATTATGTTGTAGGACTTAGGGAGTTTGGCTTATGGTTTATGGTTTATGGGTTACTAGATATTTCTTATGGCACCTTGCTTAAGGCGTAAGGTGTAGGGATTATGATTATGGCCTAGGGTTTAGGGTTTATGGATTATAGATTATGGCTTATGGCTAAAGGCTTAGTGCTTACAACTTAAATCTTATGATGTATGGAATATCGCTAATGGCTTATAGCATATGGTTAAAGGTGGTATGGATTAGGGCTTAAGGCTTATATTTTATGTGTTAGGGCTTAGGGCTTAGGGCTTAGGGATTATGGTTTAGGGCTTAGGGATTATGGTTTGTAACTAAACGCTTAGGGCTTACAACTTACGTCTTATGGTTTGTTGCTTATTGCTTGTGGCTTATATCTTATGGTTAAAGGTGGTATGGCTTAGGGCTTAAGGCTTATAGGTTATGTGTTAGGGCTAAGGGCTTAGGTATTATGGTTTGTGACTCAAGGCTTAGGGCTTACAACTTACATCTTATGGTTTGTTGCTTAGTGCTTGTGGCTTAGGTCTTATGGGTTAAGTCTTATTTCTTATGGATTATAGATTATGGTTAAGGTATTATGGCTTATGAATTACGGATTATGGATTATTGTTTATGGATTAGGGGATATGGTTTGTAGCTTCTGATGTATGGCTTAGGGCATAAGGCTTATGGCTTAGGAGATAAGGTTTAGGGCTTATGGCTTATGGCTTATGGCTTATGGCTCATGACTTATGACTTATGGCTTAGGGCTTAATGCTTAAGTATAAGTGCTTATGCTTATGGTGTTTAAAGAGTTATGGCTTACAACTCATGGTTTAATGATTAAAGCTTATGTTTTATGGCTTATAACTTAATGCTTAAGGCTTATGACTTAGGGTTTAAGGCTTGGGGCTTAGGTGATTAAGGCCTATGGCTCATATGTCATGGATTATGACTTATGGCTTATGGCTTATGGCTCATATGTCATGGCTTATTGATTAGTGCTTATAAGTTAGGGTTTATGGCATATTGCTTATAGTTTATGGCTTATGGCTCATATGTCATGGCTTATGGCTTATGTACCAAGGCTTAGGGTTTAAGTCATATGAATTTTGGTGTATGAATTATTTCTTATGAGTTAGGACTTGATGTATAGGACTAAGGGCTTAAGACATTTGGCTCATGACTACATACATACCATTACCTATATGACAAAATTGCAAATTTGGTCTCTGTTGTTGGTGATTTTATATCACTAATGTTATTTAAGTGTAATGAGGTTAATTTGTTGATCAATGTCACTTTGACAATTATTAAACAAATCGGTATGGTGCAGAGTGCACGTTATTTAAGTTTGTCTTTGTTGAAAGTATACTGCTATTTTGGGACGAAGCCCATGAACCAACGGGGGTCCGGGGGCAGCGCCCCTGGCGGGGTCCAATGGCTTGTACACTTATTCCCACAAGCTCATAACTTCTCATGTATGAATTGGGGTTTTAGATTCATATATGTCATAAGGTTTATAACTTAGGGCTTCGCTTTAATTTATTTAATATTTCCATTTTTTTGCATCCAAAATGAATAGTTATAAAACACATCCTTTGTATCATAATATTGCATTGGTCTCAAAGAAACTCACACACACACACACACACACACACACATATATATATATATATATATATATATATATATATATATATATATTATATATATATATATATATATATATATATATTCTAAACTATTTTAAATTTCTCCTCAAAATTTTAGTTTGAGTTTCCCGGTATAATTTCACTCTTCCCACAAAAAATTAAAAGCCCTAATTATATTTCCCACCTAAAAATTGGCTCTAACATTCCAATCAGTTCGTCGGCCTCTCCATACAGATCACTCGTCGCCGACATCTCCACCATACGATCTCCTGATTTCTAGCACTTCTCTGTGACTCATCTACCACCACTTCTCGCCTTATTGCAACCTGTATATCTCTAAATATCGAAGCCATATACTACCTCCCATGCCCGTTTTCCCCTTTGTGGATACTGATGGCCGACTCCACCTTCCTCACCAACGATTGATGTTTCTCGTACTCACCCTACATGACGCCCATCGCCCTCACCTTCACCAGATGGCCCGTTACCCCGCATCCTACCTTTTTCACATACCTCTCCTTCAAGAACCATAACTGCTCAAAACCGGATTGAAGCAATAGATTGCAATCGATATGTATATATTCGATTACTATAGACACTCTATTCACGGAATCACAATCACTGTCTCATTGCATCCTTGGTTCCCGTCTCTTCACGCAGTCATTGGCAAATCGCTTTTCTGTTCCTGCTTCTTTATCACTACACCACCATAGCCCCACATCACAGTGACACCTGCCCCCAATTATAGTGGTGTAGCCACCATAGCAGCGGCACCAGGTACCACCTCCACCATTGCACTAGCTACAAGTT